ATTCATGAGGGAAATGTTGTTTTATTTCGTACCTTATTTTAGTTTGAGCCTCTCATCTATGACCCGTAAACTGCTGACACTAATAAACACATAATAATATTCAGGGTGATGTATCGCCTTAACTTAAAACATTTGATATGTTCATATGTGTATAGTCCTTAAAAAGAATGTTAAAGAATTTACCCAAAAAGATATGCATAAAATAATATAAGATAACGTAGTGTCTCAATCGATAAATAAAAACCTAAAGTTTTGTATAAAATAAACTTAAAACAAACAAAAGGAATTCGTCCGATGGGGGACACATCAAAGGAAAAACGAAATTGTTATTTTTATTTAATTTTAGCATTTTCATATTTAAATCTACCTTTTAAACCTTCTCTGGACTTCCACAAATAATTCTAGACCAAAATTAGCCAAATCAGTCCAGCCGTTCTCGAGTTTTAACGAGACTAACGAACAGCAATTCACTTATATATATATATATATAGATATCATCTTAATCATAAATAATTATTAACGCATTTTGCGGTGTGTACTGCTGACGTCCATGAGCGATGGTAACCACTCATCGACAGGTGGGCTATATGCTCGCCTGTCTTTTACTGGTGGTAGAATCTCTTGTGAGTCCACACGGGTAGGTACCACCAACCCGCCTATTTCTGCTGCGAAGCAGTAATGCGTTTCGGTTTGAAGGGTGGGGTAGCCGCTGTAACTATACTGAGACCTTAGAACATATATCTCAAGGTGGGTGGCGCATTTACGTTGTAGATGTCTATGGGCTCCAGTAACCACTTAACACCAGTTGGGCTGTAAGCTCGTCCACCCATCTAAGCAATAAATAAAAAAGTGCAATAGATAAAAGCATAGACGGGCGAGTTTGCATACGGCACAAGGTGAATTCCACTACCATTGACATTTATGCCCGTATAACGATTGTTCCCTATCAAACCAAAATGGACTACTGCATCGCGGTAGAAATGTACGATGGTATGAAACGGCATTCAATATCATGCCGATTTCCAAAAAAAAAAAAAACATGGGTCACCTTCGACAGAGGGATGATATTCTGTCCTCATATAAAAACAGTCCGGGACCGAACCGCATTCCTACTGAGTCTACCATCAGATCCAATAATCTTTGCATTAGACGCCTTCAGCTCTAACACTAGGAGCAGGCTTACGAACCCCGGTAACCGTATCCGTCGAACTCGACAAAGAGGTCGATGTGCAATGTAACCCATGCATCAGCTCGCTAAGTTTCTCGCCGGGTCTTCTCAGCGCGTCGTGATTCCGATCCGGTAGTAGGTTCATTTGCGAAGCAATTGCTCTTGAGTTATGAGGTCTCCTTCGGAGGCGCTCGGTCAGCTGTTGGCAAATCCTACCCCTCCTGGCTGAGCCTTTGCTCGTCGACTGAAAAGGCCTCCGGGGCACTAGTAATCCTTCAATCATAAAAAAAAACTGACTCTACCCCATGAAGCAAGTGCTCTACAAAACTTGCATACGCATCGCCATGACTTATCAAAGTGTAGTGATTGTTCACGAGGCCCTTACCATTATAACCTTTCTCCAGGTTATCCAATTCCGTTTTTGCATATGACAATTCGATTTGTCATAAGGTTTCCTTAAGATGTTCGTATCAAGGTAATGTTTTTATGTTCCTATTTATATGTATGTACATGTTTATATTTATGAAGTATTTATTTTGGCCTGAAAATTTTCACAGTTGACTACATATCATCTCAAAACTATATATTATATAACTAATATTTATATAAAAAAATCTTCAATTTTTTTTTTTTTTTTTATAACATCATGATGCAAACGAGCAAGACGGGTCACCTGATGGTAAGTGATTCACCGCCGCCCACGGTCACCAGCGTTTACGCCATTGCGTTGCCTTGATCGAGGCTCTTGACTATTTATGTCTAGAAGTATACCACTCCTTGAAATCGCACCCTAAAAAACTTGTTACTCTACGTGGAGCGATCATTTCCCTCATTAAGCCAACCCATTTCTTTCTCACAGAAGCGAGGATTGTTTAACAGTGGCTTCAAAAGCCACAGTACATCTGACAGCGATAGCTATCACTTGTAAGGCATCGTACTAAGCTGTCCTTAGCGAGTCAGGTGAACCCGCGTCGATACATACGTACGCGCTGTATAATAGTCAACGTCATAAATTTCCTAGACAAACGAAACAATTCTATGTATGGAGTAGGCGTTCCTATTTTACTTAAGTAAGTAATATAATCGATTGACTCATTATTCTGAGTAATTGCATTAAACTATCTTTAAAAAATGTGTCAAATACAAAAAGATATTTTTATTAATGTTAGTAAATAATAAATCGTATTGAAATTGTTGAAGTTACATTTGCCAATCACCTGTCTTTATCCGTCAAAATTCAAAAATATAAAATAGATATTAACACGAAAGATCTAAGCATTTAACTTAGTGATTAGAAGGTTTTGTCTATAGATCAATAAATCTTCAAATAATAGACCGATAACAAAAAGAAATATTTCTTGAAAATGTCACCTCCACGCGTTTCCTTGTTCTACATCGAACTGACGGTCCGCGAGCATTCACTTCAGTACATATGACCACGTGACAATAGTTACAGTCTTCTCTGCCATTTATTATTAGTGGATGAAATTAAAAAAAATGTGTAGTAGTGAATCTGTAAAAAAATATAATTGGTAAGTTTATTATTTACAATAATCATATCGAAACTCAGTTAGGTAATAATTATTTTTAGATAGTTTCATGTACTCATAGGTACTCACGGTTAAAATTAGTCAGTGTTTGCGTATGAGAAAAAAAAACCGACTTTATTTAATTAAAGAACTATCGATATTATTGAGCCTAGAAATCTGTAATTGTAATCTAATTAGAGTTTATTTTTGTTGTGTTCATCTCTAACTATTTGTGTCAATAATGAAAGTGAATAAGAATGGAATAATAATTTAAAAGGATTTTTTGATTAATAGATGTTCAGTAATAAATAATAAGAAAGGTTGAGAATTTTATAATTTAGTTCAGATTTAAAAAAGAGTTTTATATATTAGTTTTATGGGTGGCTCGTTAGAGCCCACTTATGAACAGCTAAGCGATTCCTATATTAAAACTTTAATTCAGTAGGCAGAAGCTTACATTACTGATGTCTATGAGCAGCGGTGAACACTAATCATCAGGTAGGTCGTATTCTCTTCTGTTAAAAATTTCGCTTACCATAATAAAAAATTTCGCTTACCATGTTGAGGAACAAAAATGAAATTTCAATAACATTGAAACAGTGGCTATCTTATTCTACAAACAAAAAACAAAAATCATGACCAAAAAATTCCGAACCCATTCTGGTGTCCAAAATCCAAAATGTCTGATGTCCAAAATATGTTGTATTTTTAGCCGTCAGATAAAAATATTATACTCTATAGCAGTAGACACAATAGGCACTTCGAATCAAAACTGAATAAATAAATCATTAAAATATACGATAATAATCATAGTCAATTGATGAAATTCTTAAATAATTCAATTGATTAAACAAATTTAAATAAAGCGCACACACAACAAAACACGACTTTTTTAAATTAATTCATTTACAACTCCAAAAATTTGTTTTTATTTACGCGCCAATAATTACGTCAAAAAAATCGTGTGCTCTTTTAAATATGGCGTCTCATTGAACGCGTGTAGAGAACCATTTATGGAGGCATAATGGTAAAGCGACACAAATTATACTCATTTAGTGGTAATTTAATAAACTTAACTAAATTATAGACATTTAATTCGATTTGAGCGATATAGACGACTAGAGAAGGCACTCACGGTCAGTGACCTTGGACGTTGTCATAATTTTATTGGCTGTAGCGTATAAAAAAAGTTTTATGAGAATTCAAAAGTTTATTTGCTACTTTCATTGAACTTGAACGATATTTTTCGTATTGCAAATTAATGTAATTGACATTTGAAAAGTAATCAAAATGCTCTTGAACATTTACTTGATGAACAAACTTACGTTTATGTTTGAAGATCTATAAAATTAATAAGAATAGCAATTTATCCCAGTTGTACTGTAGTAGTACTCATCTTTGCTCTACATTGACACAGGTTATAAATGACTGACTCGGTGGTACAGTAATTATCACACCTGATTGTTGCGCAGAGGGTCGTGGGTTCATTGAACGGATTTGTTTGCTCTTTTTCTGTGTGTTTATTATCTTTATATTTAAAACGTATGTATGTAAGTCAGTCTCTAGTACCCATAACACAGGGAATCCTAATTTGGAGTCGGATGACCGAGCGTGATTAGTTCCCAGTTATTTATTATTATAAATAGCTCAAGTACCATTATACTACCCCGAAAACCCATTTTTCTTACAATTGAAAGCATTAAAATTAAATGTGAGTCGACGACCCACAGTCCACCTCACGCGTTATTCCTTTTGAGGCTGACATTCACGATCTTGTGACACACATGAATTTGTACATAACGTGAAACATGTTTACGAGTACTCACGACTGGTAACCTGTTATCTAACGCCGATATTGTTGATAGTTTCTCGTCATACCAGTCGCTTGCGACGAATGATCTGGCGAGTAAATTAGCGTGCAGACACAGCCCACTGAGTTTCTCGCCGGATCTTCTCAGTGGGTCGCGTTTCCGATCTGGTGGTAGATTCTGTGAAGCACTGCTTTTGCTAGGGTTAGTGTTAGCAATGACGTCAGGTTTGAGCCCCGTGAGCTCATCTACTTGTTAGGGTTACGGTGAAATGGTCTCTCAAGACGATCAGCTTAGGTAGGACAAAAAAAAGTTGATAGTTTTTATTGCAGCTAAATATTATACAGAAACATTCAATTGCTCAAATAAGCAACTGCTTCTAAAATACGAAGAATGTTGCGATGGTGTATGTAAATATGAATATTTATCAATTACGCTCTATAGCGTATTTTTCATTTTAAGATTATATAATATACGTAATTAATCAACAGAAAAATGGAAGAAACATTGGATGGGCGGGAAGTATCGGCCGGTGGTTTCGACTCGGCGGCCATCTTGAATGATGACGTAGCACCAACTACGAGCTTCTGTTATGGGATTCCGAATTTATTTAACGGGTACGATTTATTCCGATCTTTACGAACAAAATGCATGTACCATTAAGACACCCAGGCTTCTGTATGTGCACGATGGACCGGTCTCTTCTTTTTCTCCACCTTATCCCACTACGTGGGGTCGGCACAGCAAATTTTTCTCTTCCATTCTCTTCTATCAGCCGTCATCTCAACACTCACTCCTCTCTTTCTCATATCGTCATTCACACACTCCATCCATGACTTCTCTAGTCGACCTCTTCCCCTTCCTCTTCCCCCTCTACCTTGCACTACCACTACCGGTAAAATTTTAATTCTCATTACAATGATATGAAGACTTCGTGGCCTAGAGGATAAGACGTCCGGTGCATTCGTATCGGGCGACTGTACCGGTGTTCGAATACCGCAGGCAGGTACAATTTCTCAAAAAAAAATCCTGTCGTTACAGTTTTACCAATTTATGAATAAATACTATTTATAATTGCAATAAAACTATCAAAATGATGGATTTAAATTTTTAACGAATTTAGTTTGGGTCCTGGTTCCGTTCTCTGTGAGCGTCCTGAGACTGAGCCTTCAGAAGCTTACCCTCAAAACACCGAACCTACGGAGGACCAGGAACAACAGTTTGAAGACGACGAAGAATACTCACCTAAATCCAGTAAGATCATCATGTACATTTCTCTTTTTTTTTTATTGCTTTAGATGGGTGGACGAGCGCACAGCCCAGCTGGTGTTAAGTGGTTATTGGAGCCCATACACATCTACAACGTAAATGCGCCACCCACCTTGAGATATTAGTTCTAAGGTTTCAGTATAGTTACAATGGCTACCCCACCCTTCAAACCGAAACGCATTACTGCTTCACGGCAGATATAGGCGGAGTATTGGTACCTACCCATTCGGACTCACAAGAGGTCCTATCATCAGGAATTACGCAAATTATAAAAAGTCCGCAGTAGTTAAAAAATCTATGCACCTGTATATCTCTCAGTTTGTTTGACGATAATATTGTAATTTTAATACGTTTACAGGCTCAGGGTCGAAGGGTGACGTACCCAAAAGAAAACAAAGAAGATACAGGTCAGTAAAAAATATATGAATAATAAATTATATAATTTTAAATAAATTTAAAGTTTATCGAAGCGAATAAAGTTAAATATTAATATGATATTTCCGATCAGAATATTTAGTTTTAGAAGCTGAAAATTGCTAATGAGATTTTGAGCTAAGACAAGCTATTAATTTATTATTGATTTATATATATTGGTATTTGAACTATTGATTCCAGAACCACCTTCTCCAATATTCAGCTGGAGCAGTTGGAGTCAGCGTTTCAGAAGACCCACTACCCCGATGTGTTCTTTAGAGAAGAACTTGCTATGAGAATTGACTTAACGGAGGCCAGGGTCCAGGTAGTAAATGTACTTAAATTTTACCAGATTACTGACCAGCTTAACTTCTATGTCAATTCAAGAGGGTAGCGTAATTGGTAAAATGTCCAGTATTTTTGCTCTGAGTGATTTCACATTTCCAAAATTCCAATCGAGCGTTGGATATCAATTGCTACACTTACTATTGTATAATACAGATTTGTTATAATATAATGTTCATAATGTAAAGTCGTCGTGGTCTGCAACGATATTCAAATCCCGCAGGCGTGTACCCATTTTTCTAACGAAATACGTACCTACTTAACTAATGTTCACGATTGACTTCCATGGTGAACGAATAGCATCGTGTAATAAAAATCAAACCCGCAAAATTATAATTTGCGTAATTACTGGCGGTAGGACGTCTTGTGAGTCCGCACGGGTAGGTACCACCACCCTGACTATTTCAGTCATGAAGCAGTAATGCGTTTCGGTTTGAATGGTGGGGCAGCCGTTGTAACTATACTGAGATCTTAGAACTTATATCTCAAGGTGGGGGGTGGCATTTACGTTATAGATGTTTATGGGCTCCGGTAACCACTTAACACCAGGTGGGCTGTGAGCTCGTCCACCCATCTATGCATAAATTGCGGTGCCGTTAAATAATGCTATTCCTTCTAAATGTTATTCATGAACACCTTAGTATGCAAGCGCGTATTTAATGGGTTATTTTTGTCCATTATGCTAAAGAAAGTATGGAAGACAGTTCAATGCCACTTAATTATATTAGCTTAAAGAGTCCGACATAAAAGTGAAATTTTGCATAATTTGTTCTCGACTGTTCTCAGGTATGGTTTCAAAATCGGCGGGCAAAATGGCGTAAGCAACAAAAGTCGGGTTGTGATCAATTCCCCCCAAGAGGCCGGTCACCCTCGGACCGTTCTCCTTCTGCTCTGGCGCTGGAGATGAGGGATTTTATCACTATTCCAGGTAAATCCAATAATTAATATTTTTGGAACGAAGTTCCTTATCGCGCGTTGTGAAAGGGGGCTAGACGGAAAAAATTCTTACGAAAAGTTGTCACGACACTTTTTAGATCCGTCATTCTGACCAATCAACGTGTAGGCGCTTATCGCGTGACATTGCTCGTATCCGATTGGTCCGCGTAATGAGTACAGTTTCTCGAGATAGCGTTTCAACAATAGTAATTTAGTTCATAGTATTGTTTTTTTTTTCTTCATAAGGCCGTAATTTATTATTATAACTTAAAAAAAAATTACAATTCCTTCACTAATTAATCGAAAGGAACTTCGTTCCATCCGGGTGTCCCTTGACACCTCTGATGTTTTTTTTTTTTATTTGTTAGATTAAGGCAAATAAACGAATTATAATGGTCATTATAGCCTGCATCCTTATCAGCCGATAGACAATAGTTTTAAATGCACGAAACTATAATTCAAAATTAATCACAGTAGCTTCTTAATCTTACATTATAATAATTTCAGTTTCGTCGTCGCAAATGGTGAATTTAACTGAAATACCAAATCAGAAGCAAACAGGTCCAGCTATTCACATATCAGCACTTCCAACACGACAGAATCCTCAAGCTGAACTGCCGACTTTCTCGATTCCTCTACAATACAATCTTGGTACATTCAAAAAAGTTGACGATGTTCAAATCGAAGAAACAAACGTCACGCAATGGGACAGCAGAATGATACCAACTTTCAACCTAATGAATCTCAAACCACTCATGGAAACAAGAGAAGATGTTAATATTCATGAAATGAAATACGAAGTGAAGGACGAAACAAATAGAGTTAATTTTAATGAATTGAACACTCAAGATATTGAAACTGATTTACTCAAAGAGACAGCTAATGAAGGACAAAATATATCACCGGATTTCGAAATAAGGTACCAATATGAGAATGAACACAATAAAAGGTTTAGGGGCGGCTTTGATAATTCCATGATAGAAGATGGCAGGAATGATTATATGTGCGACAGTGAGTTTCTATGTAAAAATAACTTCGATAAAGACAAAACTAGTGAATTCGATGAGTGTCATCTTTTGGATGCGGATAATAATGTTGGTATGAGTAATTTTGGAAGTAATTTATAAGGGTTTTAATTCTAGTTGTAGTGTAGCAATGTAGTAGTCGGGTTTTGTGCAATAAATATTTGTTAAATTAAATCAATTGTAAATAAAATTGTTCAGTACATTTATTATTGACCCACGCTGTTGTTATAAATGGCGTTAGCAGTCTTGAATTCGTGGAATGCAATTGAACTTAATAGCCTTGGCCAGTCATACATATATGCAATCGTTATTATATGAATAGGTTTGACCTTTCGTTATTATTCGTGACATTAAAAATATTAAACTAATGTTCGACGGATTCTTACCACGGATAGTAAAATTTATCGAGTCTCCAATGTTTCAGTGAGCTGTTATAAGTCTATTCGTAGTCATGGAGCTTTCGGCTCACCGTCCACTAATAGAGAAGCTTAAAAGCTAATATAAAACGTGTATTACAGCAGATTGCAACCTGGTAGTGTAATTATGGCTTGGTAACTATTTCATGTTCTCCATTTAGAATGAATAGAAAATGAATTGGTTATAATTTTAAAATGCACGTTGAATTCAAGAGGATACATTACCATAATTGTTATTCGTCATGGCCTAAAGGATAAGACGCCCGGTGCATTCGTATCAAACGGTGCAACGGTGTTCGAATCCCGCAGGTAGATACTAATTTGGTAGATACATTAATGAAATACATACTCAACATATGTTCATATTTTACTCTCACGGTGAAGGAATAACAGGAATAACATCGTTTAATAAAAAACAAACACGTAAAATTATAATTTGCTTAATTACGGGTGGTTGGACGTCTTGTGAGTCCGCACGGGTAGGTACCACAACCCTGACTATTTCTGCCCTGAAGCAGTAATGCGTTTCGGTTTGAAGGGTGAGGCAAGCCGTTGACTGTTAAACTGAGACTTTAGGACTCATATGTCAAGATGTGTGGCTGCATTTACTTTGTAGATGTCTATGGGCTCCGGTAGCCATTTAACACTAGGTGGCCGTGAGCTCGTCCATTTATTTAAGAAATAAATAATTGTAAATAGACATGCTATAACAAAAACCGACTTCAAATAGAAAAAAAAGATATTCCAAAACAAATTAATATACACTAAAAACAATAATCATGGAAATCGGTTGGCGTGATATTGAGTTATTAAGTTATTCATCTATTTATCGCGCACGTACTTAATGCAAATTTAAGACTTATATGATGTTATTATCAAATTGGACTAAATTGAAATGGGACCACACGAGAAGCGTCACTTTTCTAATAAAAAAAAAATCATCAAAATCGATTCACCCAATCAAAAGTTATGAGGTAACAAAAAAAAAAACATACAGTCGAATTGAGAGCCTCCTCCTTTTTTGAAGTCGGTTAAATAAAAAGATGATTACCAATTTCACATTGAAATTGGTAAGTGCGACTATTACTGTTATCAGTAAGATCATCTTTGATTACCGGCTAATAAAAAGTCGATTTGCGTACATAAACTAGTCGACATTGGTGAGTTTATTATAGCACTCTTATTACAATGAAATTACTGGTCTAGGTAGGTGGTGACGCGGTCGCTTGAATACGTCGACGTCACGCAGACTTACACTGTTCAATCGATGCTTGAATAGTTTTCGTGCTTGCTGTTTGAGCGAATAATATTATTGAGTTAATCACTTTATTAAGACTTTTTTTTGGTCTTCAAAGACAAACGAGACAGCTATGAGTCATTGGAAACACTTTTCTTTCCTAGCGGTACAAGGTACTCAGACAAGAATCTGCTTCTGGTAACAAGAGCGGGTGCTATTGTTGACTACTAATCTATCTATCTATATATATAAAAATGAATTGCTGTTCGTTAGTCTCGCTAAAACTCGAGAACGGCTGGACCGATTTGGCTAATTTTGGTCTTGAATTAGTTGTGGAAGTCCAGAGAAGGTTTAAAATGTAGATAAATATGAAAATGCTCGGAATTATATAAAAATAACAATTTTGTTTTTCCTTTGACGTGTCCCCCGTCGGACGGATTCCTTTTGTTTGTTAAAAGTTTATTTTATACAAAAGTTTAGATCTTTTATTTATCGATTGAGGCACTACGAAGTCTGCCGGGTCTGCTAGTGCAATAATATAAATAGAGTAAAAGAGGGATCAATTTATCTACATAAAGTAACTTATTGGTAAGAATGTCTGGAACTAGTGGGGGACCGTCATCCGATGTCTTCCCGCCACAATGCAGATATGCGTTCTGTTTTGAAGTTTGAAGGGCGGGACAGCTGTGCTTCATTTATGTGGTCGATGTCTATGGGCTCCGGTAACCACCGGCTGTTAGTTCATTCACCCATCGATGCGATGCGAGTCATCGACGTTTTCATAGAATAGACAAAACTCCTAGTAACTGAGCGAAAGAGGACCAGCCAGGATGTCGGTAAGTAATTGTTAAGCCAAATATTCTAGGGGAAATAAAGATTCGGAGGCTTAGGTGGCTTGTGCATTTAGGGATAGAGTAGGATCGAGCTGTTAAGCAGGTGTATCGAAGGGACATCGTTCTGCATGCAAGCCCAAGTATCTTTAGTCTGATGCTGTGGAAGGGGATCTGCGCGTGCTCCTACTGTCAGATTAGCAAGGTCCCGGCGCAGCACCAGTGAGGCAGCCTTTAATTAGTAGCCTAGCAAGCACTAGCAAGCCACAGCTTTGCTCGGCTTTCAAGCCTCTCACCACCATCATTTCCATCATTCGTCTATATTAAGAGGATATCTGTAATTCGTATTTTGAGTACTGGTAGTGATTGGTGTCCCAAAAAACTTATCGCGTATCGACCCCTAAGTATATTTAATAAAAGTTTTTGTCGTTTAATTATTAATTTACAGTTCTTCTACTCGATAGAATCCATTTTTTTTGAATAAGTCGAAGCTACTCCCCTACTAAAATACGGGTGCAAACTTTAAACAAAAAAACCTTTCCTCATTGTAAATTCTACGAAACTATTGATTCATTCCGAGAATAAAACTCGTAAGTTCAGTGAATGTTGAATAGTGAACAGTTCCGCGTAAAAATGTTCTCATTAGGACGATGTCCGGGGACAGTTGGGGTCCGAGAGGTAATTCCTGATAACGACCTTCGTAAATTAGCGTTTGCTAAGTAATTAGTTTAAGGATCGATGGCTGGAATATAACAAACGCTTGGGTTTCAGGAAAATTATGTTATTGTTCGTTCTATTTGGAAGTTGTATTTTTTTTTCTATTGCTTGGATAGGTGGACGAGCTCACAGTCCACCTGGTGTTAAGTGGTTACTGGAGCCCATGGACATCTACAACGTAAATGCGCCACCCACTTTGAGATATAGTTAAAACGGCTTCTCTACCCTTCAAATCGAAACGCATTACTGCTTTACGGCAGAAATAGGCAGGGTGGTGGTACTTACCCGCGTAGACTCACAAGAGGTCCTACCACCAGTAATTGCTTAAGTTTAGATATTTAATCATTTCATTGTATTGTATACGTGGGTTAATAAGCCCACCGCATAACTGTTGTTAAGGAGTTACTTATTGAGATCATAACTTGGATACCGCCAGCTTGAGACATTACATAGAAGTCTCAATCCTATTCTGTGATGGTTGACCCTCCAAAACGGAACACACAAGGATCATGGTAGCTCCCACATTTTCGCCTTGAAAGATAGAATAGTCAACTGTCTAATTTAATTGGAAGCTATACGTTAAAATAACATGAATACTTTACACCACTATTATACTCGAAATAGGCAAAAGCAAAACAGTTAATTAACCATTTTCTCCTCTACTCTCCAACAAATTTTCTTTATCTTAGTGGCTATTGGAGAGTTTTAGTGATTTTTTTTTCAAAATCTAATCTACAAACAAGAGAGAAAACGTAATGCGTAAATTGATTATGGTCTAATTTGGATCACTGAATGAACAAAAGATATGTTTATAGTTTTTGTAGGCAGACGAGCATAGGCCCACCTGATGATGAGTAGTTAGCCTCGCTGATGGACGTCTAATGCCAAGGCATGCTCAAGATCCTACCTAGTACTGAGTACTCTCCGAATGATAAATGGCAGAAAAGATAGAACAAACCCATTCTCGATAATTTAGATGTGTGGACGAGCTCACAGCCCACCTGGTGTTAAGTGGTTACTGGAGCCCATAGACATATACAACGTAAATGCGCCACACACCTTGAGATATAAGTTCTAAGATCTCAGTATAGTTACAACGGCTGCCCCTTCAAACCGAAACGCATTACTGCTTCACGGCAGAAATAGACGGGCGGTGGTACCTACCCGTGCGGACTCAGAAGAGGTCCTACCACCAGTAATTACGCAAATTATAATTTTGTGGGTTTCATTTTTATTACACGATGTTATTCCTTCACCGTGGAAGTCAATCGTGAACATTTGTTAAGTACATATTTCATTAGAAAAATTGGTACCCGCCTGCGGGATTCGAACACCAGTGCATCGCTAGATACGAATGCACCGGACGTCTTATCCTTTAGACCACGACGACATAGCATTTCCAGATAACATGAAAAGACTCTGATAGTCATAACGAAATTGAGGCTTTGATCTCATTTCTGGAGATTAGAATTCGGAATACCCATAGGTTCTTGTAACAGTAACGCATCCACGGCCAGAATAAAAATACTATGCGTTACAAATACAGAATATATAAATATCCAATAAAGGTGCCACGCTATTATATATGACGGAGAGGCTGGCACCATCAAAGAGGTCCGCTTCGTTCGGCTGCTAGAGCCTGTTTGGTGTGTGTGTGTTTTTTCCCTACTTATACTGATAGCCATAAGAGGCTATTTCAGCTTCGCCATAACATGTAGGTAAGCTCACGGGCCTCAAACCTGACGACATTGCTAACACGAACCCTAGAAAGAGCCGTGCTTCGCAGAATCTACCACCGGATCGGAAACGCGACCCACTGAGAAGATCCGGCGAGAAACTCAGTGGGCTGTGTCTGTGGGTTAATTTACTCGTCGAGCCCTTCGTCGCAAGCGACGGGTTCGA